CAGATGTTCTCCAGCGAGATGAGCGATGCAGCGAACTTGTTTGCTGGCGTGGCATCGCATTGGATCAAGTGTTGTAAGTCGAAACTGACATCATAAAGTTGAAACAGGGTGTCAATTTATAAACGTTGTAAGTGTGAAACGTTGTAGCTCAAAACATTGCAAGTTGAAGACTGCCTGTATTTATAGATGTTCAGTGTTCACCTGTACTGGTAGTTAGCCTCTCATTGGCCTGCAGGGGTGGGGGCAGGAAAGAAATACAAGGTACCTCATCTGTGCAATGCAGTGGGTTAGATGAGATCAGGGATTTTTTAATGGGGTGATGCAAGATCTTTTGAAGAGCGCTTCAGGGAGTGAGGTTGCACAGTCTATTCTGGCCCAGCTGCTCTTTCCTCCCCACCCCTTCCCCCCCATTGCTCAGTCCCTGTGCCATGCAGAGGTAAGCACATGCTTACCTGACTATATTCTCCCTTCTAACCCTGTCCTGTGTGTTGAGGAAATAAAATTTAGTTTTCAAAATGGGATGCTGCTTGATTCACAAAAGTTACGGAGGGGTGTCTGATGTCTGGAATCTGAGAAGGTTGAGAACCGCTGGCTTAGATGATCCTTGAGATCATTTCCAACACCACAATTCTAAAAACATTGAGGAACTCAGGTGCTGTGGTGAGTGGGACCATGGAGGTACATACAATGACAGTTATTACAAATACTTGAAACTAATACTAAGCAGGCATAGTTATTCTGTTTAATTTGTAATTTGCAGCAGCATTGTAGCTTCAGAATTTGCCTTTAGGAAGAAAAAGGAGCACAGAGGCAGATAATTTCTAATGAAAAGCAGCTTCTGTCGTTTTGGTTAACTCTTGGAAAAATAAAGTTTGTGTAAATTGCAGTAAATACTGAAATAATTTGAATGTCTAATAAGTTTGGCTGACTGCTGTTTTTGGGAACAAATTCAAATATTTGATTCAACATCCCTATCCCAATTTTATTATCAGATCTCTTACTTTGTGAATGGCTGTTAGCAGTCCCCTAGCTGGACAAGCACAGTCTTGTGTCTTGGAGGCTATAGAAACAGTAAGGAGGCATAGTCACTTGGTTGCATGAATCATGTGGAAGAATCATTTAAAAAACCTTTGAGTATGTTGAGCTATAATTCTATAGTTTAAAAATGTAATCTTCCAATGACAAATGTCCTTATGATTAAAGCCATATGTTTGTGTTTAAATTTCCCTACTTCTGACTGATACAAGAAAATGCTATTGCTCCATGATGGTTTCTAAGCACACCATTAGTAAGTTTGAATATATGCTGCAGTTTGTGTCACACATGCATACAATTTTACTGGTTTGCATTTATAATAAGTCGGCTTCAAAGTTGGCTGTATTTTACTGCTTGAAATACTTGATTCGGTCCCCTTAGTTTTAAACCTGAAGAAAGTGAAGAATTAAAGCTGTTACTGCAGAAACATGACTTGACTTCAGTATAGGCCAGAGCAATTAGTACAAATCCAAATACAGTTTTATCATTTAAGTATAATTTAAGTATAATGGAAGGTTCCACTTCTGACTGTTGGCCTATTAGCGAAATGGTTAAAATCAGGGCAGTTTTTCAGGGTCATAATTACAGCCCCCAATATCTTTCTAAGGACTTCTTCTACATTTTTGGATATGAGGAAGAAAATAGAAGTTTGATAGGTTCCTGGTAATAAAAAGTTCCTCTAGTAATTTGTGGTTAAACTTCTGTTTAACAAACATGGACTAAGGTGGTGCTTACCTGTATATAGTCTAAAAATGTACTCAGATTGATATTAATTCTCCCAGATGATCAGATTTACAAGGTCTGAACCAATTTCTGAATTTTTCTCTTAAAGTTTCTTTCTAGAATATCCTTTTATTCTTGCCAAGAATAGTCTTTTGGTAAGAGAATTGTCTCTAAACTCTAGACTAAGATGTGCTGATGGTTAGGGAATGTTACTTCTAATATTTCCATAAAAAATAAGACTAGAGATCAGTCTGGATTTTGCTTGTTTTTATTTCAGTCTAGACATGGTCCTATCCCATATTCGTCACTCCCAAAAGCAGTCAGGAACTTGATCTGTTCTTTAAGGGAGGTATCAAATGTTCCCTTAATGAGTTCAGGACATCTGAAGCACAAGTGGTCTGTCTGTTTTTCTCTTAATAAAAGCAGTAGCTTTTTAAAAATAGACTTTTTAGGCCAATAAAATGGAGAAACTGCATTTGTTTTGCATTCTCATAGATTACAAAGCTAATCAACATGGGAGTAAAATACCCTTTGTCCTTTGAAGAAAGCGGCTTTTTTTTTTTTTTTTTTTTTTTTTTTTTAACTGAGAAGTGTAAGTTGATTTTAAAAAAAAAAAAAAAAATGTACTGAACAAAATGCAAAAGCGATTTGGAAGTGGATTCCTATTACCTATGGCAGGGCTATTCACCTGGTGGTCTGAGGGGTTAACATGCAGCCCCTAGGCTCCCACTGAGCTGCTGCTGGCCCTGTTGCTCTGGCCAGGTTTACACGGCACCCCTTCCCATTTCCAACTTCTGCTGCATGCCCTCACCCAGGGTATGCAGGAGCTGGCAGCCTGGAGCATCTGTGCTGCATGGTATCATAGAGGAGCCCACAGCGAGCAGAAAATGAGGTGGAGTGCCCATGGTACAGAGGGGCAGGGGAACACCAGCCTGTATGTGGTGCGATAGGATAGGGGCGGGGGAAGTGCCCACCCATATATGCATCCATTTGGGGGTCCAGCCCTAGCCTCTTTGAAACTGAACAGCCCTGAACTATGGGAGCAGACTTGTTCATTTTGGCGCACAAAAATGAATAAAAATTGTTTCCTCTGTACACTTCTGTACTTGTTTTAGTTTTTCATCTGTTTTGGATATTTTTATCTTGTATTTAGCCAGAGAGTTAGATCTTAGATATAATGAAGAGCAAAAACAGCTTTTTTTGTACTGTGCGTCTCTTGAGAGGTAAGAGAAACCACAGTATATTTGTAGAAAAAGCAGCCTTCTCTGATTTGCTAACTAATGTGCCGTGATTGCTGATTCTGCTACAGAAAGGAACTTGGGAAGTTAGGAAGTGAAGTGTAGGATGTATTCTGTTAGAATGTGTAACAGAATTTTCCAGGGTGGTCTATAACGTCTCAGAAGGTAAGCCCTATTTTCAAGCCCTTTGCACTGTACTTTTTAGTTCTTAAATATTCTTGTGTTAGTTTTCTTTCATTGCAAGGTGAAGGTTTAAAAGCCAACTACTGTTGTATAAGCTAAAACTATTCTTGAATGAGACAAAGGCAGGCAAGTAAAAATCAATAAAGGAGCAGGCTGTTGTGGCCACCATTTAACTTCCTAAGCATATGCTGCAGTTATGCTTCAAAAATGAAAGCTCTGAATAGCTAGCCTGGTCAAGCACTTAATAATTTCTCATAGCTCTAAAATTTGTTAAACAGTGTGCTTGCAGTCAAGGACTAGTTAATGTATTTTAGTGAGAATAAAGAGATCCTCTTCATTTACCATTGTGAGGTCAGTACATAACTGATAGAAATTTTATATCTAGAACTTCAGAATAGTGGTGCATAATTACTTGGTGTAGGTTTAATGGGGTATATCTTAGTTTGGATGCTTAATCTACAAAGAAAGGCGGTATTGATGCTTGCTTAGCTGCAATGCTGATAACATAACTTTTTGGATCCCTTTTAATATCTTCTTTTCCTCTTGTTTTGTAGCTGCAGGGTCAGCCAGGCTTTTTTCAGCAACTTCTATTGTGGGGTTCTTGTCTAACAGTGTTACCATTGGGATTGGGAAAATAAATTCATAATATAACATTTCTGTATGGATGTACCAAGCCTAGATAATTCTTTTCTTTATGGGGCTCTTGTCAACTCTGGCTATGTTGATGTAATTTCCTTAACATTGGCAGAGTTATCTCTAATGGTTTTTTGGTAAGTACATAAAACCTGTTAGTTGTTTTTAATAAACACTGTGTTCCAAAAGTGTGTTTATATGTTGACCCATTTGGCCTAGTATTTATCCTTAATGTTGTTCAAGGTAATGGGTACACATTTACTCTGTAAAAGGTTACTTTGTAATCTTCAACCCAACATATCCTGTTGTGCTATGACTGTGTTCTTCACCATCTTTGTCTTTCCAGTGGAGTTTTCCATGAGTCTGCTTTTCCTTCCCATATACTTAAGTGCCTGGGCATTATCCTGATGGGTTCATTAAAACATTTGAAGATGTTCCTAATAGATCTAGTACTACATGCCCTCCTAACATTTTGGTCAATTATTATGAAACAGTTGTTAGAGTAGTGTCATGCAGACACTATGTCATGCAGACATTCATGAATTCTGTTTGACCTGTCAATGTTATGTTTCCTTTCCTTTCCTTGCAGCCTCTGTGGAATATTCCACATCAGTAGGACTGTGGACACTTAAGAACCCATAGTGCAATACCAGGACCTGCTTGTTCTTTTTCCTCTCTTTTTTCTTTCTACTCATTGTCCCTTTCTGCTGGGCTGGCTGGCAGAAAATTGATTGAGGAAGTGGGAGAAATTTATAGGCTGTTACAATATTTACTTGAGGCTGAAAGGAGGGAAATCATGTGGTCTCATGATTAGGCAAAGGGGATTACAGGAGGGGAGCAAGCACCTTTTTCTCCAGGGGGGAGTGTATCTCTTCCTTCTCTGTCTTCCCTGGGGTCCTGCCCAAAGATCAAGGAACAAACCAACCCTTCCCAATCCCCTTCCCACCCTTCCACAACTTCTCTGCAAGGAATGTCACCCAAAAAGCTTCCTAGAACTTGGTAGCAATAGCCATGGTTACCTACAGTCAAGGTATGAAGAATTTCTTCACTAAATTACAAAGTGATATTTAGTTTATTTTGAAGTTGAAGGAGCCACTTTGCCCCCAAGAGGAAAAAAGAGCTTTGTGGTTAGAAATTTTACATTTCAAGGCACTAATAACTAGGATTTGTGTGCTCTTTGTCCTCCAGATCATTGCAATTCATTGAGCCCACCATGCTTTACTGAAGAGGACCGATTCAGTCTGGAAGCTCTCCGCACAATCCATAAACAAATGGATGATGACAAAGACGGTGGTATTGAAGTAGATGAAAGTGATGAGGTAAGTGGGGAAAAGAACTCAGTTCTTTCCATTAATGTATTGTCTTCATTTTAAAAGGACTAGAAGGAGCGTCTTTGGCTAGAATGTTGTTTGACCTGGTTTGAAAAAAAAGTCTTGGTTCTAGTCTTGTTTCTGTTATAGATTATCAACCTTTTTATGTGTCAGCACAAAGTTAGAGGAATATCTGCATTGTTACAAGGAGGTAGACAAATTGTTTTAATCCTGTTTTCAGTGAAATCTGTGGATGCTCAGTCTTGGTACAAACTTTATTTGCTGTTGAAGGACATTCAGTTGTTTTCCTTTCCCACTTATCCTGCTTCAGAACTCTAGCTTTTTAAACTGGGCCTCAGGAAATTAAGAATTTAACTCCCTGTATCAGTTCCATGCACTATGTTTCTTGAAGTGAGAACTTACTTATCTCATACTGAGGTCTAAGAAATTGTCACCTACCACCAAGTACCAGTGCGTCTTTTCTTCCATGTTTGTGAATGACTAGTGAAGAAGCCACTTGCCATACTTGCTAATGATGGGCTAAGTGTTTGTTCAGAGTATCTTCTTCCTGTCCAATATCCTTATTTTTTTTCCACCTCCCTTGCCATCTCTGATGAACCTTGAGTGCAGGGATAGTTCCAGGCAGGGTGTAGCAGATCAGGTGTGGATCCTTCCCCTTTGCCTGCCAGAGCTTTGCATGTGCCGTGAGCTCTGAGCTTACCAGCTCGTCAGTGCAGAGTCTGGCTGGAGAGCCTCCTTTTGCATGGTTTTGGAGCCTGCGAGGTCGAGCACCACTGCTATTTGTCCCTTTTTTTGACACTTGCTGCTGAATTCAGGGAGGTAGGGAGAGTGGGCAGTGGCAGTGCTCACAACCTAAGCTCCAGGGCCAGGGGAAAGCAGGTGGTCATTGGTGGTTGATACATAGAGCTGTCTTCCTTCTCACTCTTACAACATACCGGGGGAAGATGGGGAAATGTGCCTGATTTCTTAGCTCCAACTTCTTTCACCTAGCTTGACAATCCTCCATTTTTGATTAACTTCTTGAGGATACAAATTGGCCATGGCAGTCATTTTGATTGAAAATGATACAGCCTTCAAGTTAGTAATTTCATAAAATGGGTATTCAGACATTAAGGGCGCTGACAGATGTAAAAAAAAATAAAATACACTTTACCAGAAGCAGCACTGTAATAGTTTGACCCGGCTCTGCAGTGTCGGTGTAGATCAGGTGCTTCAGATAAAAGCACCAAAAAAGCCCCACTAAAGCACCAGTCTCTACAGATGTTGGGAAAAACCAGGTGCAACTAAGGTGCTGCCTCTTCTGGGCATGTGCTGGATTCACTGCAGGAGCATGCCGAGTTTAAAGTGCTGTTTTTTTCCATGTCTGCAAGCAGCCTGTAAAGAACGTTGTTGATGTCTAGTACTTGTCATAGGACCGTCTTTTTTAAAAGACCATACAGTACAGTGAAAGACATAGTAGCATTGTAGAATTGTACTTCATGTTTGTTAGATAGTTTTAAGGACATATCTATGTTGATTGCATTACATGCGGTAAATCTATCCCAAGTCCTGTAAGTTAGTATATGAACCCAAGCGTTTGTCATGGTTTGAATCTTTTATGTAGCATACAGGTACTATATGATGCTCTATTGACTTCAGCTGTATTTGTCATACATAAAGTTGCAGGAGAATAAAGAAAATACAGAATTATCTGGATGGAAGAAAGTAGAATCCTTTACAGCATAAGTACTTGAGCTGCATCCTTGGATCTGCTGGAGAATTTTAATTCTGTCCAAATTTTATAAATTCAGATAACTTCATGCTGTTTGAAATAACAAACCAAACTCAAATAGAAGCAACTTCTCTGTTATCCCTGTTGTTGAAATGATTGAAGAAGAGAATACATATGAGGTCTCTCCAGAACAATGAGTAAAGGCATAATATTGTCATGACAGCAATGGTTTGGGAATAGGAAGAAAAATTATTCATGCAGAAGTTAAATTTGCTATACAGGAAGCACTGTCAAATGCACAAACTTGGAAATAATAGTTGTCCTTTCAGACTTCAGCTTTGATGATCTAAACATTTTTACTACAGTAGATGTTTAAAAAAAGTCATTTTCTCTTTTGAGCTTTTTCTTTGCATAGGAGACTGGATAAAATGCACCTGTGCAAATATTTAGTTGTATAACCAGTTCCTTCTGAGACATTAACTCATTGTACAGGGAAGAAAAAGGAAAAATGTCTGAGTAAAACAGTATGGAAAATGGTAACTAAATAAAAATACTATGGTTGGTACTAGCAGTGTAGAATGATGTAAAATCTGTTCAATCTTCCAGTCTGATTTTTAGCAATGTTCATTTCTTAAATGTGAGCCAAATGACTGGTTTAACTAAAGTTGAATTCTCAGGGGATTTAAAAATGCTTGAAATATTTAGGGAGACAGTTAGCAGTTGTCACAACCCAAAGGGTGTGATTTTTGTTTTTGTGTGCTTCGGCACTGCTAAATTGTCCCCGCTAAATTGTAGCTTCCTTGCACGGTGGAGTTTTCTGCTGCAAAAGAGCTCCCCGGTGCAAGGGAGGATTTTCCGCCAATTTGAAGCTTTCTTTGCAGGGTGCATTTCTTTGTTGCAGCATAGAAATGCTCGTTGCAAAGAGTTCCCGCCATTTGTATGCTAATTTGAGTCCCATTATTGGCCAGTTCTAAATTATTCACACGTGGCGGCTAGTGATTGGCTTGCTAGCCATATAAAAGGCTTGAGTGGTTTCTGCCCAAGTTGGAGGACTCCACGAACAAGGGAGGAGGAGACTTCACACTGTGTGAAGATCTCTAAGCGCTGCGGATACTTACGGACCCAACGCATTTCAAGCAGGCACCAGAGGTCTGATCAGCCTCTAGCCTCTCCCCGTCGCCGATAGATTCCTAGACGTATCCCTTCCCGCGCGCAAGAGAACCGGACCCACGGAGCCTAGCAAACTCCGTGTGAATGAGTGAGCAGAAGGACCCACGGAGCCTAACAAACTTCGTGTGAGTTTATTCAGAGCTCTTCCAGACAAGTATTTTCTTCGGCTGACACGACGGGCTCGCGTGTTCAGAGCCTTCAGCCGGATTGGGCTAGAGTTCACGAGTCTAGAACTCTTGTCCGCCTCTCTTCTTTCCTGTCTGTAACCGCAACTTAAGCAAGCTTTCCAGCCTGCACCACTGCCATCTCGGTGTAGGTAAACAATCTTTTAAACTACCGATACGCGTCTGTGCCTAATTCCAGCTCAACGGCCTTCCCTCTCCAACCCGGCGTGCCCGGGCTGCTGGCCACAGCCCGTGTGCAGCGCGGAAAAGGGCTCGGGTCGCTCCTGGCCCGCACAGCAGTGTTAGTCTGAAGTCAAATAGAAGGCAGGGTAGATTTTCATCTTATAGACTAACCAAAATAGATATTTTTCTCAGGTGAGCTCAGTAGATGCATCTTTTTTGGTTAATCTGTAGGTACAATCTACCCTGAATATTTTATCCATGCTGACAGATGCAGAAAACTTTCCCTTTTGCTTCTTAGTATTTTCTATAGTGAGCAACCATGGGACTGATATTTTAAGAGGTTCATTGTCAGAAACAATACTTGTGATCAACTTAGAAGCTTTCAAGAAATGGATCTTACTGAACAGGCAAAAAATGATTTTGGTCTGCTTTGTTTCCGCATACAAAAAGACTCCTTGCAGGACCAGAAAACATTCTGTGGCTTTTCCATCAGTAAGTGTAAAATTTAACAATGAATTGTAATTTTTTTTTGGCAGCCGCAGCTTTCAGAGTTAATCACGGCAAGAAATTTACCGAGTTAAAAGTTTTTTTTTACCATAAAACATTGCCATTTAGGTTTTGAGTGAGGTTATTTTCCAGGATTGCAAGGTAAGGGGAGATAAAGGTGAAGATTTCTCATTAATCATAAATATTTTCACAGGCTTTATAAGCGATTTCAAGCATTCAGTTTATTCACTGCAGACCACATATTATTAGTTATCTCCTGCTTGCCTGCCCTATTTCCTGCTGTAGCTTGCTTTCTTTATTTACACCAAGTCTCACTTGCAGATATCACTGTTCAGGAAATGTTCTTGTATTTGTGACTATTATTTTCCTTACTAGTTTGAAAAAAAGCTTAATATTTCTTTAACACTACAGATAGCTAAATATCTTTCAGTGTATTCATTTAATTTTTTTTCAGGGGTTCTAAATTATTTTAAGATTACTAATACAATGAAGTTCATAGCCTTTCTGAAGCATTTGTTTTCCTTAGTACAGGAAGAGGCTGTTAGATCCTACAAGGCTTTTCAAGCTGGCACACTTGAGCATACAACAAGATCCAGTGTTTCAAGCTTATGCTAAAAATAAGATGCAGGTGTTTTAATAGTGAGTATTATTGGAACAGATGATCAAGATGTGCAGTAATTTTCCCATTGCTGGTATTCTTCATGTTGAGGTTAGATGATTTTCTAAAACATTGCATCTAGTTCAATCACAAGTTGTTGAATTGGTCTTCCCTAGGAGCTAGTCTTCAGTCTGATATGAAGGAAGTTGGACTCACTTGTTGTCATTCTTTTTGGTTTTAAAAATCTCAAAATTCTCTCATTAGTATTGGGGAAACATCAGAATTTTTACTCAAAAAGCTGCTATTTTAGTAACTATCCATGTGTTTTTAATTTCTCTAGGGTAGAGTATAGTACAATGCTACCTAACAAGCACACTCAGATTTGTTTATAAAAAGGTATCAAGGATATGTGGTTGGCCTAGATCTAGAGGATAGAGACCTTTATGCTTTTCTTGACAAAGTTCTTTGAAGTGGGGTGTTAGTGAGTTTAAATGAGAGCAGGAGATGATGCTGGTTAGCATGTGGAAGAAGACAATGCAGTTCTGCAGGCATATGGGCAGGATAATGTGTACTTCCTCTCTCTGCTCCTGAGACATCTGGTTTAGTGTTTTGTTTTTATTACTGGAAAGAGAAATTACTAATTGTTTAAATTTTC